TTCCGTTTGTTGAATCAGAAGGACCAGTGCGAGTGTTCTCCTTCGATCGGGACACTGGATGCAGAACTGGAACATATTGCTAAAACGTTAGATAGTTCAAACACAAGGAACGCAGCGACCTGGCCAAAGGCCGATGAAGAATTTTCTTCCTGAACAGGTACCTCGCGCTATCCATCTCGGGTCCACTGTCCGTGGAGACCACAGCCAACCGCTAAATCCCTCGCATATCTAGATGGCCGTGCTGATCGCCGGCGGATCGAGTGTCAACACAAACAGGAAGGAAAGACGAGTGCAGCCAAGGGAGTCACATGAAATTCGCTAAGCCAGAAAACTGCTGGCTGGCTTCAAGGCGCAGTACTCCGCGAAAACAAACCTCATGGAAGCGCCACCAAAGAATTACTTTTTGAGCTCCTGAATGGAGCTCCAGCGAGTCAGACCAAGCAGACGTTTTGCAGCGGTTCTGATTGAAGTCGTTCAAAAGAGCTCTTGAACTCAACATGTCGCTGCACCACCAGATAACCGCGCAGGCCAAGTAACACTCCTCCTGGATTTGGTCATCACTAAAGAAGGACACTTGGTTGATCAGTTGATTATTGATGCTGTGCTGGGACATACAGACCACTGTGTGCTGACCGTTGATTTCATCTGCAATTGGGTCAGAAATCCCGAACCCCAAACGTGGTTTCCAAACTTCTGCCGCACAAACATCCCAGGAATACGAACAAGTGAAACTTCTTGAACTTTCTGAACAAGTTATACTTGGACCAGCTTTAGTGGAAGAATTATGTAGGACCATTATCCAGAATGTTCATGGGGCTGACGCGATGTTCATGCAGTCGAATGAGCCGCCGGGTATCTAAAAAGTTTCGGGGTTCTCTGGAAAAGAGGTCTCAACTTTTTTCGAAAAGTTGAATACAGGGGACCCAGAAGATGCGTTGGCATTTCTTAAACTGCCTAACCGCCGTAACCCAGAGATCCACCGATGGAACACACGAAAACGAGCCATCATTCTGTACCTCGCTGGGAAAAATAGCAATGTGCTCTTCAAATGCACGAGACATCACCGCAGAAACGAGCGATCCGCTTTTACCTCGAGGAACAGGAACGAGGAACTTACGAGTGACCCAACAGTGGTATCTGAGATTT